CAGCACCAAAAGAACCTTGTGCTAAGAGTACCCGACATGACATATTTTCATGCAGCTGAGTTTGCACTGATTATAAAGAATAGTAATAGTCTGCCTTTTTCCTTTTTTCAGTACATGTTCTGGATTGATGTTAGTGATCGCTTATATGGAAATGTGGTATTGAGTAAAACAGGTATGGGTAACTTCTGGCCTGTGGGCCATATTGGCCCATGGATGTTCCCCATATGATCTTCCCTTCTGGCCCATTCTTCTCTGAAGAAGTTACCCCATCTCTTAAAGTCTCGGATCTCTCCCTCCAGTTTCCCTATCCCAAAGGGAAAAGGATAAACTCAGCCAGAAGCTGAAATAAAAATCATTCCACAGCCCCTAAAAATCTTCAAAATACTCTATTATAGACAAAGTGCAAAGCCTTCTGTTGCACTCAGAGCCGAGGGTAATGGCCTTAAATGACCTTATTGGAATGTGGAAGAGAAAATTATGTTCAGTTGTATATAATTAAGCTATAGTAGCTAATACAATGTTATGCTTTCTTAACATGAAGAAACTGCTGTTATTCTGTACCTTTATTTGCATACAAATTTACTGGACCAACTCTGGTGCTCCGTGAACAGTACTGTGCAGGGAATTGTCTAAGTCTCTTGCCCATTCTATCATTTCTGTACTACATAACTGCTGTTCGATAGGTGAGAGAATAGGAAGTACATCCTCCGACTGTTACCATTATTTTTTTCCGATCGCTTTGCAAGGAGCAGAACTTGATTTCTTGCATTCAGTAGATCCTTGTAGTGAAATTTCCACAATCCACATTAGCCTGATGTGGAGGCTGCATTATTGGGGGATGCTATTTCTGGGAGCATCTGCTACCTGCAGTTTGTGCTACAAGCAGGGAAGTCTATTTTGGCTGAGGAGGTTGTACTGGAGAAAGAACATAAGAAGAACCAGATCAAAATCCAGTGCAGTCTAGCATTCAATTTCCACAGAGGCCAAATAGGCATATACACATGTGAGCTCAGTAGCAACCCTTCTGCTCATATGCGCCAGAAACTTCTGTTCTGATGGTAGCAGAAATGACTAATAACCATTAGTAGCCTTATTTCCCAGAAAGGATAAACCTTGCTATGGCTTAGCATGTCATGTGAACTTGGCTTTTGTGGCATGTAAACCATGATGTATGGTTTAGTGTGATATGTGAACCTAGCCAATTCTAGTTTATGCATCAAACCATGGCTCAGTGTGAAGTGTAAACCCAGTTACAGAGCTAGAACTCTTTTTCCAAAAATGTTGGGTAGAACTTGAGAAATCAGAAATTGGAAAATATCTAGATGACCCATGAATGGATGGAAGAGGCATGTGGGTGCCCAATATATCTAATAGAAATTTTATTCTCCTGCTCTGTCATTTGACCACTGCTCATATCTGTTGTGCATTTGGGCCTGGAAGCTAAACAGGATCAGGCCCGGTTAGTTCTTGGATTGGAGATCTCCAGGGAATACTAGGAGGAATCAGGGAGTTGAAAAAAACATTCCAGGAGAAGACCATACAAACCATTTTTGTATTATTGCCAAGAAAAATACATGGATATATCTAGGAAGTTCCTAGGTATCAAGCTCAACTCTAGTGGGACTTTACTCAACAGGTAGTCATACCTCACCAACCTTGTTTGGTCTCAGAAGCTAAGTAAGGTTAGGCATCGTTCAGACTTGGATGGGAAACCAAAAGAGAATATCAGAGCTTTGGGCTAAGCATCTAGAAAAAGGCAATGGCAAAACGCTTTCATGCTTTTACCAAGAAAATTGCATGGATGTATCCATGAAGTTATCAGGAGTCAAACTCAACATGAAGCAGATTTTACCTTTTATGTCATTTTGTGCCTTTTTTCTCCCTTTAATTTCTTAGATGTTTTCTCTGGATCTGAAAAACTTGTGTCAAGAGCTTCAGATAACACAGCCTCCATGTGTAGAATCGGTGTGTCCTCCAGGACCTCCTGGTCCCCAGGTTAGTACTTTGTTTTGGAAAGAACAAAATGGGATCACTGGGACAAATTTTCTGGTAAGTTACTTTGCCAGATGGCGTGGAAGAATAGAAGGGGCACAGTGAGAGGAAGAAGGGGAATGTTGCTAAGAATGCAATTTCCTTACTTTAACTGTATTTATAGGGCCTTCATCTGGTTAATATACTTGGCTGACCCATCAAGACAAAAGCTGCTTTTAGTACTTTTTTAAAGTAGTGACATAATTTTTTAAGTATATAAGTCAATATTTATTAAATAAAAGATATAAATAAGTAAGGAATCCAATATTCCTATAGGTCTATGAGAGACTGAAATTCTGCCATTGCTGAAATCTTAGGTAGCTCTTGTTTGATGTGGAAGATAGTGATGGTTCCATATTGTCTTAAACAAGGGGAACCCTCAAACCCTCAGAAGTTTAAGAGGCATTCACTTTAAAGCTATCATTATCTGCTTCTCTTTGAAGATACACCCTCTTTTTGCTTCTGAGACTTAGGCAAGCTTTTATTTCCTACTGAAAGGTCCTATTTTGAAAAGCCCTAGGGTCCAATGGAGTCAGTGGCACACTTACGGCTGAACTGGTGTCCATAGGTCCAGAACCCCAGCAAACCCAGGGTCTCCAAAGTGACCTTGGATGTTGCTGCAACAACCTTTCTTTTTAAGTTTTCCCCACTGTTGTGGCATAAGGTTCAGGCAGATGTGCTTGCCAACTTCATTTCCAGCTCAGGGCAGCCCTAGGAGCTAGAGTCTCATGAAAAAGTAAAGAAAGTAAGATCTTGTGATACTGATCGAACCCTAACCAAAATGGTTTTTCTACTTCTTTTCACCAGCTTTGCTAAAACAGAATAACTTTTCTTCCAAATTCCAGTTGCTGTGCTTCCATCCTATCTCTTCATGGTATTTTACTTGGGGTGTTTCCACATGAAAGGCTCCAAATTCTACCAAATTAAAGCACTCCCTATCTGTTCCTTCAGGAGTATTTCTAGAAACAAATGTCTAGGCAAATGTGAAGGCAGGAGATAGAGTTACAAGTGTAAGATGATGTCATTCTGAGTTCCTAACAAAATTCCAGAGTTTATCAGGAAGTTGGACAATAAAAGCCGGGTTGGAAGCATCTTTAGTCTGTCATTAGGCCTAAAGAGACCTAAAAGCTTACACTGAACATAGAATGAGGCCAAAAGAGTAGAAGTTGCTCTAAACAAACATGAACCGTGTGTCATGTGACATCTTCCATCCATATCAGAGACAGATTGAAGTGAATAAAACTTGGTATGGATTCTTTCAAGAAGCAATAAAAAAAAGCTCTGTTGAGTCACAAGTTATCACTTAATAGCCAATGAACAAACTGCATGATGAAGATATTTAAACATTGTACTTCTGTTTTTAGGGCCCACAAGGTATTCCTGGTGTGAAAGGACCAAAGGGAGTAAAAGTAAGCTCCAGAGTTGTTTTGTTAATGTGAAAAAAAAATAGCCTTGGGGTATGCAAATATGCAATGCGAGCAGATTGTGCTGATTATTATAGAAATGCAGATTACTTGTGAGTAGGGTTACCATATCTGGGCTTCAAAACCCAGATGGCAGCAAAGAGCTTTTTTAATCTCTTTGCTACCATCTAGTATCTGTCTGGATTTTTGCAGCAGAAATTCCTACTCTAAGCAGAGCATACCAGAATACACGGTCGTATCATAAGGCTAGCAGATCTGGGTGGCAATAATCCAGGTGACCATTATATGGCAGCAAAGAGATACAGAAATTAAATCTTTGCTGCCATCCAGATTTTTGTAACCCAGATTTGGCTGTCTTCATATCATAATTGTGGGAATTTGGAATGCGGCTTCAGGTTCTGGCCTTCCCTCTTGACCTTTATAGGTTGAATTGGAAAGGTTGAAGAGAGGCTATGATTGTGACCACTGAAGACACTCTCTGTCCTCTGCATGGTCGGAATTTTGATTGTGCAGGATTCCTGATTACACAAGGCACAAGCTAACTATGTCATCTAAACACACTTACAGCTTGACTTGAGATTTTCCCAGCCAATTTAGGGAGGCCAGGACAGAGAGGGCAAGGCTCCCCCAAATTTACCTCCCCCAAAACCTGGAAAAGCTTCAGTGTTTATGGTCATTGCTGCTTTCCCCCTAGTATTCATTCTGTGTGTTTCTATCTTGTTCCCAATAAGTGTGATCTGTCTGATTAACAGAATGCCCAATTATAAAAACAAGTTCTAGAACAATACAGGGAACTATCACATGCTGTTGTCCTCTCCTCTTGATAATCAACCAAATTAGAAATTTCCAGCTACATTCAGATTGTGTGTGCCTCCTACTAATAGATTATTTTCTCTGACAGGGTGAGATTGGAAGACCAGGAAGAAAGGTATAAGACAAAATGCATAAGATCTCTTACATTATAAGGCTTACGGCAACCATCTTCAATCTGGTACCCTCATGGTATGTTGGACTGCAACCCCTGACTTCCACCCAGCAGGGTCATGCTAGATGTGGGTGATGGGAGTTGTAGTCCAACACACTTGATAAGGCTGATTTCTAGAAGCTTTTCCCAACTTAATTTCATTTCAGGTGTGGACTTCAGGGGCCAGAGTCCCCCAACCAATATTGGCAATGCTGAGAATCCTGGGAATTGAAGTCCATACATCTAAAATGTGCTCAGGTTGGGGAAGGCTGCTTTTGTGCTTATGTTAAGGCATGTTCATATGTTATAAAAGTTTTACATTACGTAAAGCACTGATGAACATGCATTAATCTGAGATATATAGATGTCACATGTGCTGGTGGGGACTCAGGGATTGCTGTTCTTCCTAGTTGGGATAGAGGTTCTTCCTGCCCCAAGAAACCTGTTTGGCTGCCCTTCTCTTTCACTTCCTGGCCAAGACCTTCCTATTCCAACAGGTGTTTACTTGCCAGATCTAATTCTCCCTTTGCTGGAGCCTGGTGGAATGGCTATTATGAAGTGACAGATGAGGAAGGGATGAGCACATTGGATCTCTGGTGCTCAATGGTCATGAAAAGTTTCAGATGGTATATATAGGTGACTAATGGCTGATTGAAGTTACTCCATTAGACATTACTGCCATTTTGAATGATGAAATTATGTGAAAAAAAATGTCGTTATACCTGATTTTTCTTTTTCTTTTCTTTTTTAATTTCCTTTACTCCATCCTCTGTTTTTTGAAGGGCAGTCGAGGTCCTCCAGGGGTCCCTGGGATGCCAGGATCTATTGGATGGCCTGGTCCAATGGGACTGAAGGTAAGATTAAGCTAGTGACTACTAGTTTGTAAAGCAACTTATTTATAATGCAAATGAGGTTAATTTAATCTTACTGAAACCCAGCATATATCCTGTAAAAAAAGTTTGCCAATAAATGATGAGTTTCAAAAATATGTCATGTGCTTTGAGCAGAGGATTTCCAGACTCCAGGTTTCATGCGAAACAACAAACATTGGCTGAGGTTAGGTACTCACATAGAGTTAATAGGTATAAATTTCTATCTATATTTGTCTTTATAACAGTAGTGGAATTATAGACTGACATAATTATATCAAGCAGAACTTGATTTCTCCTTCAGAGCATCTGTGAGATGGCAATGGGAGTGTTGGCTACAGATGGTCAATGGGAAAGCAGACCACATGAATCAATTTGTCTGGTTAATACTTGAATGGGAGACCACCAGGGAATACCAAGACTATAAGTTTGACTGAGTAGTTGAAAAACATCTTGGAAGAAGATATTAACAAACTGGCTCTTGAAAGTGTGCTAGAGCTTCTCTGGTCATTCCGGCTGGTGTCTCCTGCCAGTATGTACAGCTGAAAGAGCAGGAGGGATGAGCTACTGGTGGTTCATGGACACAAAGAGGCCCTCTTTCTTGGAATCTCTTCCAGCCATGTCACTGAACTTTGACAATGCATTTGCTGACAACTGGTGGGACAGTTTCCTACCATATGAATGTCAGAAACACAGAAATTCTGGAACATAAATCCAAACTAGCTCAACACCGTTAAAAAAAAACACTCGGAAAAGGAAAGCTTCCTAACGGAAGCAAGAATAATTCCAAATTCATGGCCACTTCAAAAAATGTAAGTGTGACAGTGGCTCCAGACCATCAGAACTTTGCCCACCCCTGCCTTACTGTGCAAGACAAATCAGCAAATTTGGCTCAGCATCATCCAGGTTAACCACACCCAATGGTAAGAAGAGCCAGCGGGAGCAATCTGAGCAGCGTTTGCTCATTTGCTTACTGTTCTGTTCAAAAAAACTTACGTTGAATTCAGTTTATGCATCTTAATCTTTCCATGATTAAAAAATGTAGAAATGTTGCAAATTTCTCCTCTCTGATTATGAACTATGGCTGTCAGCCCTTCCAGTTAATGAAACCTGGCTATTATGAGTAATTTTCTTTACTGATCCTTTCAGGGTGAAAAGGGCGATTTAGGCTTGATGGGATGGCCAGGCACAAGAGGACCAATGGGCTTCAAGGTGTGTTACCCCAAGTGCCACGTCCCCTTTCTTGGGCTCTGATAGCTCCAGGGTTAGAAACTGATGGTGTATGTTGCAGATAGGTAACATTTATTATTCTGGGGGTGAGGGAAAATAATGAAAGAATACAGATTTCCTTCTCCATAGGTATAATGAAAGGATTGTAACAGTGTGTTAAAATACTTGTTCTTCCCTATTCTTTACCAGATATCTTACGGCAATGTAATATATGGGTTGAACAGAAATATTTGCAAGGGAAGGGGGAGGGCTCCAAAAATTAAAGATGGTGGTTGCAATCACATGATTGAACCCCCGCCCCTTTTTATGTGTGACACACATCTTGAAACTATTTATGTGTGACACACATAAAAAGGATGAGGCTTTGATCATGTGGCTTTGGCTGTCATCTTGATTTTTTTTGCTCCCACCCTGCAGATACCCCTGGGGCTGAACTACACAATATATTAAATGTATTTAGTATTCTGGCTATGACCATATTCATTCATTCATTCTTTCTTTCTTTCATTCAATGTATTTAGCATGCAGCTGCTGTTTTGTTTTTGTGCTTACATTAGAGCAAGTTTCTGGGCTTGACCTCGAGCCTGATCACTAGGCATGTGGGTGAGAGTCTTAAATCTTCCTTAAAGCTACTTCTTTCACAAAATTCTCCCCCACGCAAAACTTGTGTGTGCTTTTTGTTACTGTTTTAAAAGTCCCTCTGTGGACCCAATGTTGATTTTTTAAACCTACATATAGAATGGGAAGATAGTTTACAAAGCAAGCAGCTGGAAGGTGGAAATATAAGCTGTCCATCTCTTACACCTATGACATAAGGACATTGTATCCAGAAACATAGTGCAGTGTAAAAGAGAGTTGCATGCTCCATATTTACTGTATTGTATACTTCAACTCTAAACAGGTAGACTAAAGGTTACTTAGGACCTAAAATTCTCAGAATTGTATCCTTTAGAGTTTTTCAGTCCCTTGGGGTATTCTAAAGGTTGGGGGACTTTCAGTTGCTGTTGGTTTTTCCCTAAGCTGCTGTAGGTTTTTTGCACTGTTAAGTGTACCACTTGTCTTCCCTGACACAATGGGCTATTAACCTTCTTGTACATTTATTTAACATCTGTTAGACTAACCTGTCAGCATACGTGTTTGACTGACCACTTTTATATACATTTATATACACCTCAGCTGGTAATACAATACATGCAGACATCCTAACCTGCTTTTGTAATTATATAGAGAGAAAGAGAAAGTAGGGTACAACATGCCAATAGAAGGTTTACATGTATGCGTATGTTAGGGAGAACTCTTCTATAGTTCCTTAGTTTTTAAAAAAATAATCTTAATGGCCTATAGACTGAAAGACTGGATATTCATTTAAAAAATTAATCATTCTAAGAAACAAGCAGATTTATTATATGAAGGTTGTTTGATCCAATTGGCAAACTCGAGTACTTCTGTACCCATGTTTCAAAAATGATGAATCTTCATTTGCATTTATATGAGACAGGTACATATTGACTTCACTTTTTTAAGGTTTAACACTCAGAGTTTTACAATATGTGAATTCAGTGATAGTTTCAAAATTAAATGTGTTATTAAAATGCTTATAGATGTTGCTGCAAAGGATTAGAGTCTACCTGGAAGCCCAGTAAAAGCCAATGTCAGAGACTCATCTAGGCTAGATGAGGGAAATAGATAGAGATCATGATTTATCATAGAGATTGCTGCAATTATATTTATGCTAGTAGTTGCATGTTGCTTCCTATTAAATGTTCAAAGCAATATCAAGCGTGGCTGCTGTACATGATTTCCGGTCATGCTGGCTTCTAGGCTGAGGTGTGATGCTGTCACTTCGTATATTTTCCTTGCTTTTGCCTTAAAATCTACAAAGTATTACTGCAACTAAACATTATGGCTTTCTTTCCTGTCCTTCAAAGCGGCATATTTCAGTGAGTTAAGCTATTCTTTTTCTAGGGTAACCCAGGAGGTGGAGGAGAAAAGGTAAGTGATAAAATTACTGACAAGTAAGTTAGTTTACAAAATGGGCTTCTTTATTTGGTTCAGGAGTAAAATAAGCTGAACAGATTAAAGGGAGGGGTCCAAAAAAACCCATGATGGTGACAACAATTGCTTGATCAAAGACCTGCCCCTTTTGACATGCATTCCATGTGCAGTGCATGTAAAAAAGAGGCAGGGCTTTGATCACATGATCACAGCGTTTTTTGTTTTTTTAAAATTTCCCCCATGAATGCCCTTGAACAGAATCAAAGTAATAAAGAAATGGCAAAGCAAATTAAAATAGGCTTTAAACCCTGCACTGGCATTCTATGTAGCTGAACATCCTAAAGTGAAAAATCTATTTTCTTTGCTCCACCAAGCTACTAGGTAACAATGTATGCAGAACAGCTAACTAAGTCTATGTTCTGGGTGGTTGTTCTAGTACATAAGCATCTAAAGAAAAAATAACACTTGGACTATAATTTCTTAGGCTGATCCTCTGCCAAGTAGTCCCAAGATCTAGTTCTCCAGACAAAAGATTTGATATTCTTACTCTTATCTAGATGGGAAAAAATAGTAACAACATAACACAGCAGGGAATAAATGGGCCCACCATCCTGTGCTGATGGAAACTACCCCTATTCCAAATCTTTATATACTTAGAGCTGAAACAAAAGCAAGGTTGAAACAGTGGGCTGCTACTGAGTTGCCCCACCATCAGCTCCTCCTACATGTATTTATTCCTTATGACTTACTCTCTAACAATAACTTTTCCTTCTTTTCTTACAAAATGAAAATGCATGGCACAAATGCTGTTCAAGCAAGCCTATTAGCTGAAGCAGTATTGAATGACATCTGCTGTGAAAGTATTAATTAATTGCTTCAGGAAGGAAACATTTCCTCGATCTGGATCATTGCAGTGGTGGTTGAAACATCAGAGTGGTCCACCACTGCTTTGATCTGGTGGAAAGGGGCTTCTGTGCAGGGACTGTGTGCACACGGAAGCTCTTTGTAGAATACAAAGAGAGGCATTTGCTCCAATTTGGCACTTCAAAGAGGAGCACAGCTTGGATTCAGTGTTTCACTTAGAAGGGGTTCTTCAACTGGAATATTGCTGAATCCTGCTTCTCGGAAATTCCACAGCCCAGTGACCAACCAGATGCCCAGAGGAAACCAGCAAGAAGTCATCAGGGCAAGATTTCTCTCTGCTGTTCTTCACCAATGGGTATTCATGTGGATAGTATACACTAAGGCTGTTCATGCTTCAGTAGTGCTTCAGACCCCATGTGGAACCAAGCCTCCCACCTCTCTACTATTCATTAAAGCAGAAACCTTTCATTTTTATAGGTTTCTGTGTGAATTTTCAGAAAAGTAGAGTTGCTTTAAGGACTCAGCTTGTTAAAACTAATGAGACCTTTAAAACAGCTGTACTTTTCATCAAGCTGATATGGAAGCCTGAAAAAAGATGTGCTGCTTTAACTAGTAGCAGAGAGGTGATATTCCTAGGCTTGTGCAAAAGCTAAGACCAAATCATTTTCAAAGCAGGCAGAGTAGAAGCCAAATGCAGTGTTCGTCACCACTGGCAACTTGAAGATGTGTGGACTTCAACTCCCAGAATTCCCCAGCCAGCATTCTGGGAG